TTCCCTGCAGGAGGTGGAGAAGGAGGAGGAGGAGAAGGAGGAGGAGGAAGAGGAGGAGACAACTCGCTGATTCTTGCCGAGGATGAGCGACTGGTTCTGCAATGAACACGCCCTGTGCACCAGAAAGGCGGGCACATTTCCAGATTCGGCCGTCGCAAAAACAAATCGTGACGGCTGGCAATGATATTGCCTTGGGGCTGCCGACAACAACTGCTCGGGGTAAAAACTTGGCCCTAGGGGAGGGGCCGACAGCCTTGGGGCCCACGTCACCAACACAATGCGACTTCGGAGGACAGGGCAGAGCACTCGGGCCATCTCGCCTCCAAAGCTGAGGAGCGTCGGGGGGCGTGGGCACCCGTCGACTCACTCTTTCTGAGCCGCTGGCCCCCCATGAGCCCTGGACCACCGCCCCGAAGCAATCCAATTCGTGGGGTGCTCCCTGGGGCGTGTCCGCGCTGGCTTTTTAGTAATCCGACCGAATTATTACTTGGTGTTTGAAATGAATATAATTATGCATATAATAAAAATGGTGCGGTATTATATAACTTACTTATACAAAACATTAGTTAAAAATAGCAATACCAAAAACAAGCAAAAAAAAACGGAGGCACGTCGCAGGCCAGCGCCGGCCACGAAGCGGCTCCCAAACCCCCAGGCCCGCGGAGGCGGAGGGCGGGGGAGCAGCTCCGCGCGGCTCCCGAGCCCAGGTCCGCCAGAGGGGGTCGGAGGGCACCTGTCCCCCCTCCTCCTCCTCCTCCTCCTCCTCCTCCTCCTCCTCCTCCTCCTCCTCCTCCTCGAGCCCAGGTCAGCCAGAGGTGGTCGGAGGGCACCTGCCCCCTGCAAGCGGGGGGGGGGGGGCCAGGAGGGGCTGGGGACGCGAGAGGTGGGGTGGGCAGGGGGACAGGGGGGGGGGCAGGACAGGGCAGGCGCTGGGGGGCGAGCCCCGACGACTCTGCAAAGAGGACAGCCGAGTGCTCGGATGCACCTGCGCAGACATGTGGATGGTCGGGCTCTGCGCGCACTGCCGCAAGGGTAGCCCCTCCGACACACAGACAGGGACAGAGACAGAGACAGAGACAGCGAGACACAGATACAGGCACACAGGCACACAGGCACAACGGCACACAGGCGCACGAAGGCCCGCCCAGGCCGCCCACGGGAGAAGGAGGGTGACGAGGAGCAGGATGATGATGATGATGCTGCTGCTGATGATGATGATGCTGCTGCTGCTGCTGATGATGATGATGATGATGATGATGATGATGATGGTGATGGTGATGATGATGACGATGATGATGATGGTGGTGATGATGATACTGATGATACTGATGATGATGCTGATGGTGGTGGTGGTGGTGATTATGATGCTGATGATGACTATTGTAATGATGATGCGGATGATGATGCGGATGATGATGATGCTGATGCTGATGATGATGATGATGGTGGTGATGATGACGATGTCTATGTTGACGGTGGTGACGATGATGCTGCTGATGTTGCTGATGAGGATGATGAAGAGGAGGAGGAGGCGACGTATGATTATGATGATGATTATGCTGCTGATGATGATGATGATGATGATGATGGTGATGGTGATGATGATGATGGTGGTGATGCTGACGATGGCTACGATGACGGTGGTGGCGATGATGATGACGATTCTGATGATGATGCTGATGCTGATGATCATTATGATGCTGATGGTTATGATGCTGCTGATGATGCTGATGATGATGAGGATGGTGATGATTAGGAGGACGAGGGCGAGGACGAGGATGATGATGATGCTCATGATGCTCATGATGCTCATGATGATGATGATGATGATGATGATGATGATGATGATGATGATGATGATGATGATGATGATGATGATGATGATGATGATGATGATGTCATGACTCGGCAGATGTCACCCGAGGGACGTGCGAACAATGATCGGGGAGACGTAAGGCTTGAGTTTTTGGGGCTCAACTTCGTCTGACAAGGCCGTCTAAAAATGACGGGACCGAGTCTGAACTTTGGCTGGACTGTCAAAACCAATCAATGCTAGGACCATCAGAAGGCGGCGGCACACCCGAGCTCCGACGAAGGCGTCGACGCAGGAACGATCGAGGGGACGATGGGGATGGGCGTGAGGACGCGCGGAGGGGGGGGGGCACCCTTGCCCTGTGCATCGAGTGCAGAGCACCCGCGACGCCTGGGGCCGGGACGCGGCCTCCCGAGCCGCAGCTGCCGTGCCGCAGCAGCGTGCGAGGGGTCCAGCGGCCCGGCGCATCCGCGTGGCGACGAGCCGTCTGTGCCCGCGCGGCGGGGGACCCTCGACGTCGGCCAGGCCTCTGGGCAGTGCCGGGCCCCACGCCTGGCCGAGGTCGGCGCGGCTCCCCACCAAGACGCGGGCACACGTGTCGCCTCCAGACGCGCTGACACGAGCGGTGATCATGCCCATATCCGCGCCCTCGCGGTCGGGCTTCTGAGGCGCGGTTCCGCGGACACGCGGTCGCGCGGATGCGTTCCGCGCGGGGCGTCCGCGCACAAAGACGCCCCCCGTACCCGCGGGGTCGCGGCCCGGGGGCCCGGCCCGCGAGGCCGGGGCTGCGGATTTGGTTTTCGCCCACGACGCTCGTCCTGCACAGGGTCTCCCTACACACATTCATACTGTTCATACTACCCCTGGGGCTGGTCATTAACATACCTGCAAACAGCAACGCAAAACGACACGCACGTCCGACTTCGGCGCGCATGCGCGAAAGGATCAAGACCAGAATCACGATGCGAATGCACTCGCAGGGCTCGGACTGCTGTCTGCAACCGGCAATAATCAATAGCAGTTCCCAACTTTAGCCGAGGAGTGGAAAGTGCTTCGCCCTTTCCTGATAATGCAAGTATGTTTAGCTGAAGCAGTGGTACACAAGGCAAAGTCCGCAAGAGCAACCTTGGCAGCACCACAACCCTGGCAAAACACATACATACCCCCTGAGTGAGCCGCGAATCCCGCGATGCTGTCCTGCATGGCAAGGGACCATAAAACAGGGCTAGGATCGGGATACATCGTTCCAGAGCGTTCCGGAGCGCTCTCAGAGCGTTCCGGAACGCTCTGGAGCGGCCGCGGCGCCCAATACATCCTCCAAACCCGCCGATTCTCAGAGATTTCGAGTTATCCCGATCCGATTTTATCCCGATCTTCGCGTCGTTTTAGACCAACACCCCAAAGTCACACCGAATACCTGGCCGAGAACAGATACCCCGGATCCAAATCCGTCGACGCCTCACGTTGGCTTCCGCCTTCTGCCGCAGGCTTCCGCTGGCGCACCCGCTGTCGTTTCAATGCCGCTGGCCTTCGCTGCCCTTCCGCCTGCTCCCGCCGAAGGCGAGTGGCGAGGCCCGTTCTGGAACCCCCCACTTACTTTACCTCCTCCTCCTCCTCCTCCCTCCTCCTCACCCCGCTCCTCTTGCGCCTCATTCTCCTCCGTCCTCCCCCTCCCTCCCCTCCCTCTGCTTTTGCTCCTCCTCCACCTCCTCCACCTCCTGCTTCTCCTCCTGCTACTCTTGCTCCCCCTGTACAGGTGCCCGAGCGGTCCGGGCCGGGGGCAAAAAAGAATTTCACCGTCTCGTCATTCAGGCGCATGGCCAGCGACTTCAGCAGAGTTATGTAGTAGGCCAGTATCTCCTCTTCGCAGCAGGATGTGGAACGGGCGGGACGGGGAGACCTTCGTACAAAGAAAGACCGTGACGCACCGCTATGTTTCGATGCTGTTTTCGGTTTGTCCTCCGCTTATCGCCGATAGCGCCGCTGGATCATGATTTGGGTTAGATGGGATTCTGTGCCAACTGCTGCCCTTGATAACGCTCCAATCAGAAAACACGGGGCTTGAACGAATCTTGCTCCGTCGGGAAGACCATTGGCGTAACGGGCACCTCGACCAGCTCATTGCTCTTGGCTTACGAGGCCCGCTCCCCAGTGCTAAATGGAACTGGGATGCTTTCCCAGCGCGAAGGGAGATATTATGTTGGGGACTCCAGCAATAACCACAACGCTCATCCGGATCTTGGAGTAGGAGGGGGGTGCTGATTTCGGTGGGGGGTCTGATTTGAGCTGTCTTGGTGGTCTGGGTGAAGTCTGGCGAAGAAATCCCGGGGTTTCTCCCGACCCAGGGAGGTCCGAAGTGGCTGGCCTGGGAGGGTTGTGACCCCCCCTTCGCTGGAAAATCTGGAGTATTGGACATGGTGGTAGCGCCGGTGGCACTAGCGGCGCAATACACCACTCTCGTACTGATGGCGGCAATCCAAGAAATGTCACAACCCTAGTTCTTCATGTTTGAGACTCGCGGGTGATGCCAAAATGGAGGCGAGTGCGAAAAAGGCAGCAGAAAGTACGACACTGAAAACAAGAAAAGGGGTGCGCGGACGAAGGGCGTCAGATGGAACCAGTATGGGGTATGGGGGGAGGAGCAGCCTGGGAAGGGAGTGAAGGGCAAGACAAAAACTACTACGATGACGTGGGGTGTGGGATTCCAGTGGTGGGGAGGTGAGGCCAGAAAGGGAACAGGGTGAATCAGAAAGGCGATGCTTGCAGATTCTGGGGAAGTGGTCAGAAACGCACGGAGCGCTGATCCACCTGGCGTCGATCAGCCCGCAGCCTACACGCCCAGCACAGAGAGAGAGAGAGAGAGACACACAGACACACAGACACCGACACACACACAGACACAGACACAGACACCGACACACACAAACACACACAGACACACACAACCCCCCCCCCCCACACACACACACACACACACACACAAACACACACATACACACAGACAGACGGACAGACAGACAGACAGACAGACAGACAGACAGACAGACACACACAGACAGACACACACACAGACACACTCACAGACAGACACACACACAGACACACACACACAGACACACACACACAGACACAGACACACACACACCACACACACACACCACACACCACACACCACACACCACACACCACACACCACACACCACACACCACACACCACACACCACACACCACACACCACACACACACGCAGACACAACCACACAACCACACAACCACACAACTACACACAAACACACACAAACACACACACAAACACACACAAGCACACAAACACACACAAGCACACAAACACACACAAGCACACACAAACACACACAGCATACACAAACACACAAACACACACACACAACACACACAAAGGCACACAAAGACACACACACAAACACACAAAGACACACACACAAAGACACATAAATACTCACAAACACACAAACACACAAACACACACAAACACACAAACACAAACACATATACACACACGCACACACGCACACACGCACACACGCGCACACGCGCACAAGCGCACACGCGCACACGCGCATACGCTTACACGTGCACACGTGCACACACGCACACACGCACACACGCACCCACGCACACACGCACACGCGCACGCACGCACACACGCACACACGCACACACGCACATTCGCACTCACGCACACACGCACACACAACACAGGCACACAGGCACACAGGCACACAGGCACACAGGCACACAGGCACACACGCACACAGCACACACGCACACACGCACACACGCATACACGCATAAACGCACACACGCACACACGCACGCACCCACACGCCCACACGCACACTCGCACGCACGCACACACGCACACACAACCACACACCTACACACCGAAGCCAGCCTCGTTGCTGAAGTCCAGCGGCAGCTCGATCAGCCTGGCCGTCGTGGCACAACCACGAGCCAAAGGCTACATGCATTCACGATTCTCATGAACGGTAGGCGCGTGCGCGTTCCTTCTCTCGCCAGCAGCGGCGCAGAAACGTTGGTGCAACAAACCCCGTCTATGATCTCAGTTAGGGCGCATGCAACGGAGAGTTTCAAAGAGCTGCATCACTATGCTGCCGCAGATACGGATGCACTTGCTACGTGTAGGGGCTCTTCAATGACAGTCCCGGCGCCACCCTACCCTGTGCAATTAGTAAGTTCTTAACAGTGGCACCGGGGTAGCGCCGTGCATGACATCTAGTATTGCCAAGGACGCGTCCGGTAGTCCTGACATTCTTACACCCGTTTTGGGAGGCAATACGTGTCAACGCAAGCGAGTGTTCCAGACAAGCATGCCAAGGATCTGAGAGTTCCCAGCTTGCTGCATGGCTGCAGCCGGCCTTGCCATCTCAATTCCCTCTTTGGCGAGCGACCGAGCGGGCCTGTTGACGTAGTTCGCGCTCAGAATGTAGTACCTCAACACGGGCGCACGAACGCAGAATCAGCACGCAAAGACTGAGACAGACCACATGGCCGATTAGTTAACGTTTTCCTATTCGGCGTTTCGACATTGGGCGGAAGGGGGGTGAGAGGGGTGGTCCGGCTCGGGACCTCCGCTAAGTGCATGCGAGTGTTTGCAACGGTGCTTCCTCTGGGGGAGGCCCCACCTGCTCGAAACAGGCGCCAAGAACGGCCAAGATCTACTCCAAGGGGGGGGGGGGCGGCGAGGGCCCGCGCCGATCGGCAGAACAACGAAGAAGAAACCGATCACTTGCAGCAGCCCCGACTCCAACCGTGCTGGTGCCTCGCTTTTGCTCCCGCCGCGCCTTCCGCGGACCCCCCTCGCCGGCGCACCCGCCGCCGCTCCCGCCTCGCCGCCGAGGGCGAGGCGCGCCGGAGGCGAGGCCCCCCCTCGCCTGGAACGCCCTGCGCGCGCACCCGTGGGGGAAGCGAGCGGAGGGGGGGAGGGGACGAGGAGCAGGCCCTCTCTGGGGGGCCACATGCGAACCCTACCCCCTGCCCCCCACGATTGCGGACGAGCGAAGTGGGCCCCGCCCTCCCCCTCAGAAATCGCGGGGGGTAGGGGAAGGGTTCGCATCAAGTTAGCCAGCTCGAACGGGCCAGAGGGCTCCGTCCACTCCCACCCGCCCTCCCACAACATAAGAAGCGCAAGGGGTAGGGTTCGCATGTGGCCCCCTATTCTCAGAAGGCGGCGGGACTTCTCAGAGGCCCTCGCGCCTTCCGAGAAGCTTTTTGTTTGTCTTCGGGGGAGGCTCAGACAACTTCTCAGAAGGCCGCGGGACTTCCGAAACTTCTGAGAATGCCTTCTCCTTCTCACTTCCCCCCCTCGCTCGCCGCCGATTATGAGGGAAGCAACAGATGCCGATACCGCAGCTCCCCGGACCTCTTTTAGCGTGCGCCCTGATCAGAATCTCGAAGCGAGTCCAGCCGTGGCGACGAGGGTCCCCCAGGAGGCCCCAAAGCAGCGAAGACGAGGGGAGTGTAGCGATGTCGATGCCTTCTTCTCATCTGGATTGGTGCGCACGTGGAACGACACATAGCTGTGGAGGCGCCTCCCGTCGCCGACGCCGCCCTAATCGCGGTGCCCCCTCTCCTCCTCCTCCGGCCCGCCGGCCGCGGCTCAGAGGCGCGGGAGGAGAAGAAGCGCCTCCCCCAGACCGTGGCACTCCCCCAGTGCCCTATGCATTTGGTGCTTCCGCGCCTCAATCGGCTCGTCGTCGTCGTCGTCGTCGTCGTCGTCGTCGTCGTCGTCGTCGTCGTCGTCGTTCTTTCTGAACAGCGCCCGAGGCCGCCCTCGCGCCAGCGCGCGGAGAGAGGGCACAAGGAGGTCTCCCGCCGGATGTTCTGCACCTTCGGCGCGAGCGCGGGCGCGGCCGAGCCCTGCTTCCCATTGATGCTGAGTGCTAATGTTAGTGCTGCTGCTGCTGCGCCACTTGCGGGCACGAGCACTCCTGCTGCTCAGCAGGCGGTTGCAGGGACGCGGCCGTATGCCACCCTGGCGTCGGTGGCGGTGGGTGCCACGCACCCGAGCTCCAACAAGCTCAGCCTCCTCCTCCTCCTCCTCCTCCTCCTCCTCCTCCTGCTCCTGCTACCGCCCCTCCTCCTGCATCTCCTCCCTGCGTCTCCTCCTGCCTCTCCCCTGCTTCCCTCCTCCTGGCTCCAGAGGCCAACACGCTCAGGCACCATGGGCCTGCCCGACACCCATGGGCACGCCTTCCCCAACCCAGCGAAGTGCTGCATCAGATGCAGATGTGTTCGTTCAGGTGCGTCTCCAGTGAGCTCTGTGCTCCATGGCTTCCTCCTTCCTCTTTGTTGCGCAGGCTAATAGGGCACGCTGGTGCGCCCGTGGCGTCGCTTCCTCCTCCGGCCTCTCCGCCCCGTCGTGCGGGGAGGACGGCCCCGAGAGGCACGACGGCACGCCCCTCTGCGTTCCTGCAGGGTGGAGCCGCCGCTCAGTCGCCGGGTGCCCCAGACCGTGCGGCGGCCGCACCCAGCAGCGCCCGTCGGTCGGCTCTCCCCCCGCAGCACCGCGAGGGAATCGAGGCGTTGCCTCATGGCACATCCGTCGTCGGCCCTGACCGTCGTAGGGTGCCGCAGGAGGAGGAGGAGGAGGAGGAGGAGGAGAAGGAGGAGGGGGATGAGGGGGAGGAGGGGGAGGAGGAGGAGGAGGAGGAGGAGGAGGAGGGAGGGAGGAGGAGGAGGAGGAGGAGGAGGAGGGGGAGGAGGGGGGAGGAGGAGGAGGAGGAGGAGGAGGAGAGGAGGAGGAGGAGGAGGAGGAGGAGGAGCGGGAGGAGGAGGGGGAGGAGGGCCGGGAAGGAGGAGGAGGAGGGTGGTGAGGAGGACGCCTGCGAAGAGCCGTCTTGCGATAAGACTTCGTCGTGGGGCACAGTCTCCGTCGACCCCTGTGGGCCCTCGGGTGCCCCGGAGCTCCTGCGGGTCCCTGGGGCCATCGGGGGATACCACAGGAAACCTTCCACAAGAAACCCAGCCCTGAGACCCCAGGGCGTCCATTGATTTTTGGCGTGGGAACGTCGCGCTTTCCATAGCAAAACCATCGAAACCCAAGAAACCCAGGTACCCTGGAAGCAGGCAGGGTGTTTCTTGGCATGGACCTCCACTGTAAGACATCCCACCAGCCCTTTTGGGCGACGGTGGTCTGACGAGCCCTTTCCTCTTCCATCGCCCTCTTCCCTTCGGGGAGGGGGTTGCCCTCCCCCTCCTCTCCCTGCGTTTTTCTTTTTGTGTGTGGGGGGGGAACCGCGCGGGGTGAGAGCGCCCAACATGGCCCAAGATGGCTCCAAGAGGGCATCCGGTGCTCCAAGACGGCCTCCGAAGCGTCTCAAGATAGCCGAAGATTCCGAGATACCTCCAAGAGGCCCGACGAGTGCCACAACACGGTTCCAAGTGCTCTCGGCGCCTTCTCAGGAACCTCCCAAGGGGCCCAAATCTTCAACAAACCTGAGGACAATCAAGGGTGTGCGCCTTCTTGCCTTTGCGCTTCCGATGCGCTTTTGAGGCCTCAGGATTGCCTCAAGATGGTCCAAGAGGAGCCCTAAGAGGGGCCCAGAGCCCCCAGCCGGCCCCAAGAATGCTCAAGAGCGGCCCCAAGAGCCGATTCCGAGGGCCCTTGGGGGGGGGGGGGGCAGGGGCGGACGGGCATCGGGGACCCCCCCCCTTTGACCGACTGGCCTCCAAGATGGCCTCAAGAGGCCATCCAGGGCTCCCAACAGGGTCTTGCCTCCCCTCCAGTGGGCGGACAACATATCGCAAGTTATATGATCGTTCCGAGAAACAACGTTTCAACTTTGATCATATTCCATCGATCTCCGAGGAACCCCCCCTTCCCCCGCATTTCAATGTTGACTTGCACTATTTTGTCCTCCCGGACTTGGGGTGCTCGCTCGATGCCAACATTGAAATGTAGGGGGCGGGGGCGTTTCGTCGAGGTGGCGTCGCAATGTAGGCGCAGCCGTGCGCGGCCAGGAACAACTTGCAACATTTCGTCGTCCCACCGTCCCAACTGTATTCTGCCTTCCCCTCCCCTCCTGCGCTTGTCCGCGCTCCTCCCCTCCACTGGGGGGGGGGCCCCTCCCCGCGCGCCAGCATCGACAGCGTCTGGAGGAGCTGCACCTTGACCGTCTTCGGCGCCTCAAAGGGCGTGGCTTGGCGGCGGAAGCACGGGAAGAGGATGCGGAGACCGACAGGGCTACAGTCTGGGCGTTGACCTAAGGAACCCTAAATAAGGAACGAGGTCCCTTCTCCTATAAATTGAGCTTCGATTTCCCATGGGAAACCTCAGGAGAACCGAAGGTACACTGCAGAACAAGCAAGGAACACCGAGCCCCTCCCCAACGAAACGGGTTCCTTCTTCAGGGCCCCGACCGTAGGTGCTCAACCAGACCTCCCACCCATGGCAGGGGCAATCACCCAACCTCCGCGCAGAAGACCACCAGAGGCCGCCGCGCTGGAGACCGCCGAAGCCCGTTGAGCAACCCGAGGTCTGCGTCGGCGGTGGACAAGCCTCCCTCCAGCAAACCTCCCCTTAGTGAAAACGGCCCAGGACCGAAACAGACGGACCTGGACCCGCCAAAATGACGGCCGCGGCGCCCTCTCGCGAACCGAAAACGGCCAGTTCCTTAGTCGACGTGTCAGGGTAGGAGGTCTATCCACCTCCGACGGTGGTTGAACGCGTAAGAGGAAGAGGATGCACGACTCACTGGGCCAGTGCCTGCGACCTCCGTAGGAAGATGTCCCGCTCGGGGTGCGAGCGCGTGGCCGGGCGGGCCTTATGGGCTTTAAAGGCGGATGAAAACACCCTGGGCGTTTTTTTTCGATGGTTTGCAGTTTTACGTCTTGTAGGTCGACGTGGGCCTCCCCAAAACTGTATATATATATATATATATATGTAAATACACATATCTCTATATATGAACTCTTCGCGGCGAACACCTGCAATGTAATCAACAAACGATTGGGCTCTAGTTGAAAACGGCATGTAATAAACTTTTGGATTCTATGAGGGAGGGAGCAGCAGGGAAGGGCGTCGCAAACCCTTCGAAAACGTGTTGCAAACGTATTGAAAACGGTGCCACACGAACGACTTTGATCGCTGGCCCGGGTAGGTCTAGAAAAGGTTCGCTCCGGAAAGTTTCGCTGGCCCCGGTAAGAGACATAATTCAGATCTCATAATAATGGGAGGGGGTCTATTTTTGTGCGGGGCCTCGTTAAGCAAGATTGTTTGGGGGTCTCGATGGTCGACCCGTTGTTGCACCGCTCTTGAGGGGGGTCCCACACGCGCTGTCAAACACTTGTTTGACCCGACCCCCCCGCTAGTGTGAAATTGAATACACGTTCGGTCCAGAAAATCTTCTCTTCTGCACCTGCTGCCGTCACCAGCTCGCTACCTGCTGCAACATGCCCCATGCAAACACAGCTTTGCGAGACATATTTAAATACGAGCATGCAAACTATCAAACACATGCTACACAAATTGACGTCACGAAAAACACGGCTTGTGACGGACACCTGGAAACGATAAGACACCGGGAGTGGAAAACGATGAAACAACGATTTTCGAGGCGAACGCTGCAAACTATAAAAACAAAACACGAACAGGGCGTTTTCAACAACCACTAAGCTTGTGTGAAACAAGCGAACGGCGCAGAACACGATGGCCTAACGTGACAGGACGCTGCGACTTTACGCGATTGTTTACGCAAGCCGCTGACATCTCACGCTGCATGCCAGAGAAAGCACTCACGCACAACCTTACGCAGGCAGCTTGCGCACGAACGGCCACGCGTCTGGCTCCCTGTCCGCCGCTAGGATGTTCGGTGGGGAGGTGGGTCGAAAGGACTGGACTGTGCGAACAATCTATACATACACGCATATATATAGATGACGAGCATGTAGACCGAAAAATAAGAAAGGACAAGAGAGAGAGAGAGAGAGAGAACGAGAGAGCGAGAGAGAGAGAGAGAGAGAGAAAGCGAAAGAGGGGTGGGGGAGAACGGGAACGAGAGAGAGAGGGATATATAACCAGAGAGAGAGAGAGAGAGAGAAGAGAGAGAGGGGACAGAGACATGAATCGAGGAAAGGGGAAGGAGACAGAGAGAGAGAGAGAGAAAGAGAAAGAGAGAGAGAGAGAGAGAAGGAGATGGAGAAACCGATCGCAACACTTCGTGCTGCGTGTCAGCCCCGACCCCCGGGCTGCGAGCGGACGGCAGGCCGTCCGAATTAGCGGGAGGCACCGCAGCACTCTGCGGCTGTTGGCCATACTGCCGCAAGCGCTCGCTCTGTTATACTGTTGAGTGTCTTGCTGCATGTGGAAGTGGGCGGCCGCGATGGCCTCCAAGTGGACATGTCGGACGTGCTTGACAAGGTAGGCTCCGCGGTCCAGGTAGGACAGCCTGGCGGAGTTCCGTCCCTTGCAGACTCTGGTCAGTTGCGTGTTCTGCCAGGCACTGGGGCACATCTCGTAGGCTTGCTTCTCTTTGCCGGAGGAGCCCTGTGGCTTCGTCGTCGCGCTGCTCTTGCCGTGTTGGCACGTTGGAGGTGGGATGCTGGAGGTCTGCCGTGGCCCTGCCGACGCAGACTCTCATCCACTCTTGAGAGGCGTCGCTCTCGGGGCCCCATGGCGACCACAGCGCCGCCGCGGAGTCGAGGTCCTGGGCGGGGTCGCCACCGTCATCGCAATGGCCTGCGACGTCGGGGCTGGCGCCCCTCGGCCGGCAACCGCGCGGCTCTGGTGACCCGCGGCCCTCGAACGACCACTCCGGACCGGCGGCGCCACGCGCAGCGTTCGCCGCGCCAGTTCCACGTGTCGCGGGCGAGCTGGGGGCGCGCAGCCCGCGGGGCGTGGCGCGCATGGCCCGGCGGAGAGCCCGGGCAATGTTCGTGGTGCTTCTCTCCGCGGGCGGCGGTTGGGGGTGCGTGGCTTGTGGTTCAGCGTGCAAGCTACGTCGTTCCCGCAACTGGTGCGTGCCACTGTTGTGCCCTGGGTGGGGAACCGCATGCGAACTGCGCCACTGGGGCCTTCGGTGGAGCTCCCTATGGTGCCACGAAACGCTGCCCTGGGCGGGGGAACCGCATGCGAGAGCAACCACTGCGGCCTTCGGTGGAGCTCCCCATGGGGCCACGAAACGCTGCCCTGGGTGGGGGAACCGCAAGGGCAGCGCGGTGCTGCTCGCCGTCGACGCTGGCGAAAGAGTGTGCAACGTGACTTCTATCTCCTCCTTCACTGGAGGAGGACTGCTTGTGGGTCGGGGCTTGTGCCCCCTGTCCCTGGCCCCCATGGGAGCGCGCCGACAATCGTGGTCTGGGCACGCGCAAGAACTCTCACAGGGCCGAGGCGCGCAGGGGCGCCGAACCGAAGCGGGCGGGCGCTCGCGCGCGGCGGGCCGGGTGGGCGTCGACGCTGCGGGCGGGGGCTCTACGAGCGCAGACAGGCCCAAGCCGCCGCCGACCCCTGCGCGACGGAAACCAAACTAATGAAACGTCCAGCGGGTCCCTGGCTACGGCTACCCCGAGACCAAGCCCAAGCCGCCGCCGACCCCTGACCGACGGAAGCCTAACTGATGAAACGTCCAGCGGGTCCCTGGCTACGGCTACCCCGAGACCCCCGACCCTGCAGGGCTCGCCGCGGGCTTCAAAGTCCCTCGACGCGCGCGGCCCCCGATGGGGCGAGGGGGGCCCGCCGCGCCCCTTCCAGTGCTGCTCCCTGGCGGTGATATGCTGGCATGGGGCGCGGGAGGCCTGCTTGCTCGCTCTCCCAGTCGATGCCTCCTGTGCCCTGTCTCCCGAATTTGCCAACAGGGACCCGGTGGTTTCTGAGCAGCCCGTGTCGTCTGGGCTCGGGCGGGCGAGACGAGAGGTGCCATTTGGCCCCTGGCAGCCCTCGGGTCTGTGTTCGTGCCGGCCTGCTAGGACTGGGCCGCGTAGGCCCCTTGTTCGAATGGGCGGTATTGCCGCGCGAGGGTGGCCCGACTGGCGGCTACGCTCGTGGCAGCTGTTCGGAGCCGCGTTTCGGCTTCGGCATGCTACTGCTGGTCGGCCTCAAATTTTCTGAACCTCGCGTCTGTGGTTGGTGATGCCTGGGCTCCGGGTTGTGGAATCCACTCATCGTCAGAGAATTCATCGTAGCCCGCTGCCGCGTGCTGCTTGTTGGTGGGCAAGGGTGGGGCGTCGGTGCCATCCAGTCGGTCGGCGCCTCCTTCCTTGTAGCAGTCGGCAGCGTCCTCGATGGCGAGGTGGCTGTCGCCAATATACGTCATGTTTTCATCATTGATGTGGATTACTGGTTTGCGAGAATCCTGCACGCTGCTGCTGCGCCGCAGTTCCCCTGGCGCAGGGGCGCTCGGCGGCGGTGGCGTTTTTGGACTCGGCGGCAGTTTCAGCAGCGCTTGGAGGTACAGGGCAGTTTTTAAAACATCGGATGTTTCGACATACAGGATTTTTAATACATGATTCATGTATGAATGAATTATCCCAGTGCGACCCTACCTAGGAGTTGGAGCATCTAGGAAAGCAACATCTACATCTACACCGACAGCTACAAACATCTACACTTGCATCTACATCTACATCAACATCAACAGCGAGACTCACATCTACATCTACATCTACACCTACATATACACCTACAGCTACATATACTTCTTCATCTACATCTACATCTACATCTACATCTACATCTACATCTACATCTACATCTACATCTACATCTACATCTACATATACACCTACAACCACATCTACACCTACACCTACACCTACATCTACACTTTCGCATTGGTTTTGCTTTCGCATTTGATTTGCTGCTATGCTAGGCTATGCTATTCTATGCTATGCTGCGCTATGCTATGATATGATATGCTATGCTATGCTTTGCTATGCTGCGCTATGCTATGCTATGGTATGCTAGAACACGCTCGGCTGCGCTGTGTTATGCTAGGCTATGCTATGATATGCTATGCTATGCTGTGCTATGCTGTGCTGCGCTATGCTATACTAGGCTATGCTATGATCTGTTACGCGGCGCTATGCTATGCTATGCTATGCTGCGCTATGCTATGCTATGCTATGCTGCGCAATGCTATGCTATGCTATGCTATGCTGCGCTATGCTATGCTATGCTATGCTGCGCTGTG